AACATAAATGGATTTCATGTTTAGTCTTGGATCTCATTTCCAAGAGCTCTCCTTTATTATGTGCATATATGCAAATAGCAGCATTCCAAAATCTGGGAGAAAATTCCAAAATTCAAAAACACTTTTGGTCCCAAGCATTCTGAGTAGGAGATACTTGTGGGTCCCCAAATGTTTTGGCCTTCAACTCCCAGAAATCCTAAAAGCTGGTAAACTGGCTGGGATTTCTGGGAGTTGTAGGCCAAAACACCTGGTGACCCCCATGTTGAGAACCAATATTATATTGTTTTAGGAAGCCAAAAGTATATGAATAATAAAAACAATGACTTATTAACAGAAGCTGAACATAACAAATAATGTAATACATTTAAAAGAAATATTTAACTCCCACGCATACTCTTTTCTTCATAAACTACCAACTCAAGGTGCATCTACAATGTAGAATTATTCCTTTTTAGACAACATTCCACAGCCCACTGTAGTACAATATATATAACATATAAGACGACTGGGCGTATAAGACAACCCCCAACTTTTCCAGTTAAAATATAGAGTTTGGGATATATTTGCTGTATAAGACTACCACTTTTCAACGCACACCAATTTTTTTTAAAAGCATCAGATTTGATTTCAATATAGTAATTTTCCTATTACTGTACCTCCTTCTCTGCCTCTCAGATCTCGCACATGTGCACTTGCACCTCTTCACTGCAGTCTTCACGAGTGAGATCTGAGAGGCAGAGGAGGAGGTCAGACAGGTAAAAGAGGTGTGTTTGTCTGGGCCCAGAGCCACTCTATCTCTTTTTTCCATACGCCTGCAGCTTGCTCCGCCCTTCACTTACAACTTCTTGGTGAGGCGCCCCTTCACCTCACCATCGGGACCGCATTAAGTCCACAAATCTTGATGAATAGATTTTTTTCTATCGTACTTGTGCAGCGTAGCCCTTCATGCTTTCATCCAGTCGCTGCATACGTCAGGGACACGGCCTTTGCCATTTTTTAGTTCCCCCACCATATGAGGCAATCATCATCATCATCTTTAATTACTTATTAATCGCCCTCCATCCGAGATGCTCCAGGCGATTTACATAGCAGAAATTATACAGGATAAAACACATACATACAAATATTAAAATTAACATGGGTCAAATGCTCTAGTAAAAAGCCAGGTCTTAAGTGCTAGGATAAAATGCCTTGAGTCAACCACAGATTCTCCAGTCCGATTGGAAGTTTCAGCACCTGCTCTATAAGACTACTCCCGTGCATAAGACTACTCCCATGTGTAAGACTACTCCAGTGTATAAGACTACTCCCGTGTATAAGACTACTCCAGCGTATAAGACTACTCCCATGTATAAGGCTACTCCCATGTATAAGACTACTCTCGTGTATAAGACGACCCCGCGTATAAGACGATCCCGCGTATAAGACGGCCCCTGACTTTTGAGAAGATTTTCGTGGGTTAAAAAGTAGTCTTATACACCAGAATATACAGTACTTTGTAATTTTGAAAGTATGTTAATAAAATCGTTGGCAATGTAATGGAAAATCCTACAGTGCATTAAATAATGTAGACTACTGATCAGTGCATCTAAGCTGTAAATTAATGCAGTTTGATGCCTCTTTAACTGTCATGATGCAAAGCGATGGAGTAAAGGGAATTGTAGTTTTATAAGGTCTTTAGCCTTCTCTGCCAAAGACTTCAGGTGCCTCACCGAACACTTGCATGATTTCACAGCATTGAGCCAAGGCAGTTAAACTGGTGTCTATGTTGTAGGTGTATCTTCAGATTCTTAAATTCTACTGATTTATTCCTAAAGCTGACTTTGAAAAAAACTTTAATCCTCACTCATTCACACCACACTCTACTGATCCAATTTATAGCAACTGTCAATCACCAACCCAATTAAAATCCTTTAATGTATTTTACCAATCACCCTCTACTCTCAATATTCCATTTGCTCCCTCCCACAGTTAGTTCCTTCCCTGATTATTTAATATATGTAAAACGAAATGACCTTATTGTTATATAGTGTTTTCTACAAAAGGTCCATGACATCAAAGTCAACTGTTGTGGTTCAGCAACAGCATGATGGGCATGATGGGACTGAGAGTGCAAGTGAGCATGATGAGAATGGGAATACAGATGCAGATGTGGGATTTCAGATTTCTCAGTTTTCTCAGCCACAGTCTGTAGCTAGAGAGAATCCCTTGTTCTCAAGGGAAAGGAATGTGGCTGATAACACTCTCGGTGAAGGTCGGCGCGAGCCGCAGGTGTTGAGAAAAAGTTTACGGATTGCGGCCAAATCTTGAGGCCATCTGCTGGTGGGAAAACTGCTCGTTAGCTGTTCTGTTTAATGTTCATGTTTTGATGTTTTTCCTATAAGAAGACTGCTGGAAAGCTGATTCAGTGTCAGATCCAACTTTGCAAAATGAATTGCTGTACCTTTGGCCCTAGGGCTTGGGCTTTGGGGTTCGTTTGCTTCCTGTAACTTCATGCTATTGCCTGGATTGTATCCTGCTTCTTTGCCTCAAGTTTCCTGCCTTGATTCAACAGAACTTTGGACCTATACTTTGTACCATTGAATTTTTACTGCTTTTACTTGGATTTGTTTTAAACTTTAATAAACTTCTTTCTTCTCAAGTTTGGCTGGTTTGTCAGAGAGCAAGGTGAAGCTTAACCTGAGACGCAACATCAACAACAAAATTGAGATAGGATAACAAACTGATGTTCTCGCAGGCTTCTGAAATGGATAATTAAATACAGCTTCACTGTGTCTCAAGGCTGAAGCTATTGATAATAAATTCTGTTGAAACAATATGGGGGAAAGTAGCTTAAGGTTTTAATTTGCTTCTATATAGAGCAATTGTAGATGATACCAGAATTGTCCTGGGGCTTACTAAAGTCAATAGAAACTGATTTGAGCTGGGAAGGGATCGGGAAGGTGTAACGATCTGACATTATGAGTTTTGCAATAAAACCCATCCTTGCTAGTTGTTTGATTTGGCTCTCAAACTCTGAGCGCAAAATAACATAGAAAATATCACTTGTGGGCTGATCTTATATAAGGATTTTATTATTTACATTGTAAGTAAGCCTTACCTGGTAATAATTATGAACAGTGACAGAGAAGACTTCCAAAAGTGAAATCACAATTTGTTTGGGAGGCGTTATTTTTGCCTTTCTCTGAGGTTGAGATAGTGTCATTTGTCAAAAGGCCACCCAGTAGATTTCCCACAGCTGAGTGGGGATCCTGGTCTTCAGAGTCATAGTCAATGCTGAAAACACTACAAAATGCTGGCTTTCTGAAATCACAATTCAAATTCCTTTATTTATTTATTTATTTATTTATTTATTTATTTATTTAGAACTTCTCATTTATGCTTCTGGCTCTTTTTTCCATTGCATTGTATTGTTTGGCATTTGACGTTGTCATTCTTGCTTATATTACACAATCTATATATATAGTATTATTATTGTTCTGTGATTTTGTTGTTCTGCTTTTTGTAAACTGTGTTTTTATATGTTGTACACCGCCGCGAGTCGCCCTAGGGCTGAGAGCGGCGGTCAATAAATGCACCAAATAAATAAATAATAAATAAATAAATAAATATAAAAATGCTCTGTGCATAATGAGTACCTTAAAAACAAAAGAACCAATGAATGAAATCACACCAAATTTGGCAACAAAACGTCTCACAACACAAGGAGTGACCATCACTCAAAAAATTGTGATTTTGTCATTTGGGAGTTGTAGTTGCTGGGATTTATAGTTCACCTACAATCAAAGAGCATTCTGAACCCCACCAATGATGGAATTGAACCAAACTTGGCACACAGTTCTCCTATGACCAACAGAAAATACTGGAAGGGTTTGCTGGGCAGTGTCCTTTGGTTTTGGAGTTGTAGTTCACCTACATCCAGAAATCACTGTGGACTCAAACAATGATGGCTCTGGACCAAACTCTACACGAATACTCAATATGCCCAAATGTGGAGTTTGGGGAAAATAGACTCTTGACATTTGGGAGTTATAGTTGCTGGGATTTATAGTACACCTACAATCACAGAGCATTGTGAACCCCACCAATGATAGAATTGGGCCAAACCTCTCACACAGAACCCCCCACGTGGGCCACAGCAACGTGTGACAGGGGACGGCTAGTATAATAATAAGGGTAGTAACCACTTAGTGTCTAACAAAAACTTCTGAATATCAAAAGTGCTTCAAGGCATGTAATATTTCTGTAGTACACCAATAAGAACACCTGTCTGATAATTGAATAGTCTATCTTGGAAGGTGATGGATTTTCCTTCATTTGATGTTTTTAAACAGAATTTAGACAGTCACCTTTCGGGGTGTTTTTTCATTGGCAGGCAGTAAAACTAGATGCCTTGTGCAATTCCTTCAAACCCTATGATTCTGTAAATCATATGGGCCTTCATATATTGTTGGACTGCAAGTCCCAGCATTTTATATAATTGCCCATCCTAACTATAAGGCAAGATGGCTGGATGGTATCCTTGAAGTGAGTGGCTTGACCTTGAAGGAGCTGGGGGTGGTGATAGCCAACAGGGAGCTCTGGAGTGGGCTGGTCCATGACATCATGAAGAGTCGGAAGCAACTGAACGAATAAACTATAACAACAACAAAGCTACAGTTGCTGGGACATTCAGTCCAACAGTATATGGAGGGTCACATATCTACCTCCTCCTGACTGTAATACTCATAAGACCAGTAACCATTGGTTTGTCCACATGTTGCAAAAATAGGGATGAGGCTGAGAGTTAGCTTCAGCCAATGTTTTGATGCTCACCTCTCAGAGATGCTTTAGCAATGGTTTGCTGTACTAGCAAAGGCTTGGTCTAGATGGCTCTTCCTACTCTATGATTCCGTGAGGCATCACAGGGTGTCATGGGCTGCAGAGACAAAGCAAGATCATAGAAGCATGCTTTCAGATAAGGCATCTCCACCTAAAGGCTGTACTTTTGTCTCATTCAGGAATCATCCAGCGCTGCTCAGCTGTGAAGTATCACTACACCTCATCTTCCCTGCCACGCAATTTGCCGGTCAATATTACCAACACAATTCGCCAAGATGAATGGCATGCTCTCCGTAAGTAACCTAAGCATTTGGTTAACACTCTGGCATCTATTCTATATGAACTTGGGATAAACCAAAGAAGAATTGCACATGCCTCTTTTTAGCAGTAAAATGTTATTTTTGGTACATCAACTCCCAGAATCTCTTTGTTTGCATGGCCAATGATTCAAAGCTGTGGAATGTAGGTTAAAGAAATTATCTGTGTGAATGACCCTCCCTGTTCAAAACATATACATAAAAAGTAGCATACACAAAGTTTAGCCTCCTTCCTTATGCATTAGCTTTCCATGAGGACATCTTGATGGAGGAGGTGTCAGATCTCCCTTGGATTCATCCGAGTACAGTAATCTCTAGTTCTGTCTATCTATTTATCTAGGCACACTGTTATCTCTTAGTGCAAAGAAGTAGAGTTCAGTCAAGTCCCTTTGGAACTGGAACAATGTTTTGAATTCTTCTGTAATTAATTACAGTAACGGACTATAAATTATTCTAAGGTTGGGTTGTTGTGAGTTTTCTGGGTTGTATGGCCATGTTCTAGAAGCATTCTCTCCTAATGTTTCACCCACATCTGTGGCAGGCATACTCAGATGTTATGAGGTTTGGCTGCCATAAAACCCCACTTGCCTAGTTTCCAACAAATCTCACCACCTCTGAGGATGCTTGCAATAGATGTGGGTGAAATGTCAGGAGAGAATCCTTCTGAAACATGGCCATACAGCCCAGAAAACTCACAGCAACCCAGTGATTCCAGCCATGAAAGTCTTCGACAACACATTATTCTAAGGTTGTTGAAAATTTATGGATTATCATTGCTCTACAGACAATGGTTAAAAGAAACAACCTGAAAAAAGGGAGAGTTATAAGGAATGATCCTTTTGAAATTATTAACCATGTAAACCTAAAGTCAGAAACTGTTTGACATTTATGCCATTTGCCTGGCCAAATTAAGGGCGTTCAGCCTAGTTTTCTCTTCCCCCTTAGTCCACGCAGTCCATAGCATGTTTGAGATATTATTGGACTGGTGGTAAGGCAGAAAATTTGTCTTGACTTCTGACATTTGGTAAATGTATGGCTATAGTTTTGTTTAGGGCCTTCTTAATTTTATGCTTAAGATAGGTATTCCTTTGTTCAATAGCTGTCTTATTAGGGAACGTGCCCCCTGATTTCACATACTAATTCCTTTTTTTTTTTTGTTCCTGACAGTAACTGCCTACTGATTAATCTGAAACATTTACAGTCTTCTTGCCCTTTTCTTATCTGTACTGTCTGTTGAACTTCCCAAAACCCTTTCAAGGCTTTTCAGAAATATATTAACAAAAAGCAACCCAGGCAGCATCTCTGCTAGTGTGTCATGCTTCTGAATTCAAGCCAGGTTGATGACTTGGATCATGCCTGTTCGTGCTATTCAAGAGCCACGGGGTGATGGGGGAGGAGGGAGTTGGGTGCGGTGTATTTGTATGTGTGAGAGTACACCCACACACACATATTCAGCATAACAGAATTTCACGACTGGGCCCAGCTTCCCAAAGAGCTTTGCTATTTTGCTGACTCTGGTTCAGGGCTTGACAAAGGCTCAATATTTTTGTGAAATGTAGCTTTGCTTTCTGAAATGCTTCCGCAGCATAGATTTATGCAATGCAAGATTCTGTCTCTTATTTCGTGTAGCACTCTTCTATTCCTCTTTCTCTTTCTTTCCCCTCTTCTTTCTTCACTGAACCAACACCTCCACACAGATCTGCGGAGAATGACAGCTGGCTTCATTGGTATGGCAGTTTCCATCATCCTGTTTGGATGGATTATTGGCATGCTGGGCTGTTGTAAACAGCATGAGCTCATGCAATATGTAGCAGGGCTGCTCTTCCTTATGGGAGGTGAGAGTTCTTTTTTGCTTACGTCCAAGAGCCGTGCAGTTGGCGTGATGCATGTACGCGATGAATTAAAGCCTGGATAATGGGTTCCCATCACAAGAAACCACGCTTCAGCTAACTAGAGTTTAAAACACCACTTGGCAAAACGCTGAAATGACATGAAGTGTCAGATAATACTATTCACCACATTCTTCTGTGCTTGCAGCTGCCCAAATCAGGGTTGTTTCACAGGATAATCCAAAACACTTTTGGTTCCAGGAATTTCAGATAAGGGATACTCAAGCTGCGTTTTGTTATCACACCGAAACAGCAGCAACTGGTGGCTTTTCATGAAACCACTGTCAACATTATTATGGTGTGATTAATAGGATTTTTGTGTCATTGAATGCAGCGCTTCTTTCCTTGGAAACCAAAAGGGGCAACTGCGGGAGGCATATTCCCAAGGTGTGAACTGGTGCTGGACAAAACCACAAAACATGACAGCAATTTTAAGCTTTTGCTGATATAATAAAGAACTGGGCAGCTTAAAGCAAATGTATTCTCCCTTAGCCTGATGCCACCCACATGTGTGGAGCTCAGTCTGCCATCATTCCCTAGCTGGGAGGGCTGGGATGATGGAAGAAATAATGTCGCACATATGCAGAGCATAAGGAGGCTGATGCAAATGAAATAGCAGTTGATAGTGAAGGAAGAATAAGAAGCATTCAAAACCAATGAGACAGGGAGAAGAGATGCAGAGCATGGGATGAGGGGTGGGGTGAGGGGACAGGACACAACATAAGCTCCAGTAAGAGTCCACTCTAGTGGATAGGATCCTGGTGTACTCTTGCACAACCTTCAATTTTCCTTTCCTTTCCTCTCTACATGAAAGCCTCATGAGCCTGATGTTTCCCTTTGTGGGGAAGTTGAGAAGCACTGCTGTCAGGCATGAACCTTCCTTTCTTTTTGCTTCCTTCCTCAGGTACCTGCTGCATCATTTCCCTTTGCACCTGTGTGGCTGGGATCAACTTTGAGCTGTCCCGTTATCCCCGCTACGTCTACGGCTTGCCAGAAGACATCAGTCATGGCTATGGCTGGTCCATGTTCTGTGCCTGGGGAGGCCTGGGGCTGACCCTCCTGGCAGGATTCTTATGCACACTGGCTCCCTCGCTGAACAGCCCTCGGACTGTGGTACAGAAACCTAGACAGGAAAACGGTGCCGTGTGATATGAAGGCCGCAAAGGACTCTCTAGCAAGCACAGTCCAGCAGTAGGTTCCCACCGATGCAACGTGGGCACCTGAGATTCATGAAGCAAGGGTGGCCCCTCTCGTGGAACAAATTAAGGGGCGCAATTGCTTTTTCAATGTCTTGGGGGGACACCACTCGTTGATTCTTCAGCCTGCCTGTCTCTGATACAAACGAACTGATCAGGTTCATTTTTATTCCTGGTTTGCCTAAAGGAAAGTTTTCTGTTAAATAGGGTGTGTTGCTGTAGGATCTGTGTACCATTTAAGCTGAACCAGATTTCTGCTAGGGGAAGCCACTGTGAATTCTGTTTGGTGTCCAGTGACTCAAAGGAACTCCATTTCAAGGAACTCTTAAGGACAAGCCAGAGTCAAAGGCCAAAGGGAAATTCATCTAGTCTCAGTATTGATTCTCCTTTGCAGCAGAGACCTAGACCTCGATTTGCATTGAAGCAGCACTTGAAGTCAGCTTGTTCTGAGGGGGCTTTAATTATTCAGACAGGGAGGTTAGAAAGTACTTCCTCTGGACCACTCAGTATCTGAGCCTTGTCAGTTCTGGAAGCCAAATATGCATAGCAGCTCATGAAATCATTTGCAAGGTTGATGCATAGGATACAAGGGGAAAATGGAATTTAACTAGGTTTCAGATGCTTACAAGATTCTTCCACAAGGGGGCACACCTGAGTTAGTGATAATAAATCCACCCAAAAGTATGCAAGTGGTCCAAACTTACAGACAGGAATAATGGTCTGCGAATTTAATTGGGTTACTGACTCCATCAGTAACATACATTCCTGTATGTTAGGTTAAAGCCACATATTCATTTAAAAGAGTTAAAACGCAATTTCTTGGTGGGGCCAGAATCTCAAGGCTACTCTTTTGCAGTCCCGTCTTTCCAACTTTTGTAAAGAGGCAAATTCAGATTTACAATTCCACTTCAAATCCTTCCAGGCTGATTGTAGAAGAAACTACTTTTCACAGATGAGCACAGAAACAAACTCGCCCCCTTGATGGCAACTTTTTTGAGAGAAAAGGGAGCATTCTTGATTTTAAGGGGGGCTTGCTGTATGCACGTGAATGAGAGCTGAACCTAAACTCAGGAACATCAACAATGGTGCTGAGGGGAAGCGCTGGTCTTTCCTTGTTGTACTCCTTTTCTGTCTCCCTAAAAGACTGCACAAGAAGCCTTGGTTAGAGGGGCTGTTTACATTGTATTTTTAAGTGGCATGTAATTAATTACTCAGTGCTAAAGTCAATGTATTCATGGAAAGTGTGATTTTTAAATGGAAGTTGTATGTTTCAAGAGATATTAAATTAAAAGGCTTGGTTACAGTGAATGGATGGGCACTTCCACCTTTTGGGGTCTCTGTAGAGAAAGATCTCAATTTATTCTCTACAAAAAACAAACTCAATCAGGGAGGTAGAAACAAAATGTCAGTCGTTTCTAGAGCCATTCTCTCAATGTTGGCCTGCTCATTTCCATCTAACAAAACCTAATGTGTACAAGGCAAGTTGCATGTAAAATCAAAAACATACTGGCTGTTGTGATCAGAGGCTAGTGGGTCCAACAGTATATACTTTAGGCCAGGCATCCTCAAACTGCAGCCCTCCAGCTGTTTGGGCCTCCAACTCCCAGAAGCCCTATTGAGCTTGTTCAATTGTCAGGAATTTGGAGTTGAAGGCCCAAACAGCTGGAAGGCCACAGTTTGAGGATGCCTGCTTTAGGCATTCCCTGAGTTACAAACATCCAACTTACATACAATTTCTAGTTACAAATGGAAGAGGAAAACCAGGAAGTGAAAGGAAATCTAGTCCTAGGAAGGGAAATCCACTCCTGTAAGATGTATCCAGGGAAAAGTGTCTCCGCTGAATCTTCATCGCCAATCCTTGTTTCTATGACAACCCCAAATTTTCAAAATCCAATTGTCACATGGACAAAAAGGGAGGTGAAATCTTCTGAACAGGGGCACAGACAGCAAAACAAATATGACAGGGGTGTTAACCTTCCCTAAGCCATCCAAACTGATTTTTATGCTGGCATTACAGTTACTGGGCTTTAGTTCAAAGGCTGAACAAGGGACTTTCTAATGTACACAGGCAAGGAACTACAGTACTATTACAGCAAATGTCCTTACAAAGTTTCTCTATTCAGTCACACAAACAGGATACGACTTTGAGGTTATTAGTGTGAATTTGGTTTTTTTTTCTATCTTAGGTTCACCCCAACTCCAAATCTGGATGTTTTTAGTGCTTTAAACTATTATCAATATGTCTCAAACTTTAAAAGAATCAGCTCAGAATTTTTCTTCCTTAGACTACAGCAACACAACTTTCTTCATCAAAGCAGATGTTTTATTTCCCCCACCCCCCGTTACTTTAAAGAAAGTAATACAATTCAGTTCCAAGTGTTTTGAGCCTGCTTTTTCAGTCAAGGCCTTAATAAACAATTGTAGATGAAAGATTCAAGCGTAATATTGTAGGTTGGCTTTCTTCTTGGCCTGCACTTCCAAGATTCCTTCCATGTAATCCTCGTGGGTCAGCTCCGTAGCTCCATGCCGCAGTGCAATCATTCCCTGTCCCAGTGAGAAAAGGAATAGTTCAAGAAACACATCTAAATAATGCACTTCCCAATCAGACACAGTACAGTGCCACTTTTATGTTGAAAGCTGTCTCAACTTAAAGACCACACCTGGAATACTGTCTCCAGTTCTGGGCACCGCAATATCTCCTTTTAAGGGAGATATTGACAAGCTGGAATGTATCCAGAGGAGGCGACTAAAATGATCAAGGGTCTGGAGAACAAGCCCTATGAGGAGCGGCTTAAAGAGCTGGGCATGTTTAGCCTGCAGAAAAGAAGGCTGAGAGGAGACATGATGAGAGGGGCCATGTATAAATATGTGAGGGGAAGCCATAGGGAAGAGGGAGCAACTTGTTTTCTGCTGCCCTGGATACTAGGATGCTGAACAATGGCTTCAAACTACAGGAAAGGAGATTCCACCTGAACATTAGGAAGAACTTCCTGACTGTGAGAGCTGTTCAGCAGTGGAACTCTCTGCCCCAGAGTGTGGTGGAGGCTCCTTCTTTGAAGGCTTTTAAACAGAAGCTGAATGGCCATCTGTTGGGGTACTTTGAATGCAATATTCCTGCTTCTTGGCAGGGGGTTGGACTGGATGGCCCACAAGGTCTCTTCCAATTCTATCATTCCCTGTAATCAATATCTTGCTTTGGACAGACTGACCCGGAATACTGTGTCCAAGTCTGGGCACCACAGTTCAAGATACTGAGAAGGGAACTTGCGCAGAAGAGGGCAATTGAAAAGTAAAAGGTCTGAAAGCCAAGCCCTATGAGCAGCAGCTTAGGTAGCTGGGTAGGCTTAACTTGCAGAAGAAAAGGTTAAGAGGGACATGATACCTATGTTTAAATATTTGAAAGAATGTTCAATTGAGGAGGGGGCAAGTTTATTTTCTGCCACTCTAGAGACTAGGACATGGAGCAATGAATTAAAATAGCAGGAAGAGAGATTCCACCTAAACATTAGGAAGAACTTCCTGATGACAAGAACTGTTTGACAGTGGAATACGATGTTTGAATTGTGATGGAGTCTCCTTTGGAGGCTTTAAAACATTGGCTAGATGATAGCCACCTGTCAAGAATGCTTTGGTTGGGTAGGTGTTCCTGCACGGCAACTGGATGGCCCTTGGGATCCCTTTCCAACTCTATGATTCTATGAAAGTGGAATCCTTTCATTACCCAATGGAAATCAGATAAGGAAAGAGCCTGATAAGACATACGTACCGCTTCTACACACACAGCCTTGCACTGGGCACCATTGAAGTCATCTGTACAACGAGCCAACTCTTCATAATTCACATCAGGGCTGCCGAGAAAGAAATTCAATTTTGTGGGGAGAAATCGCCAGAGGACTTTCTGGTAACATTTTAAACTCCAGAACTACGACAGTGTGTAATTGAAGATAAAAACAGTCAAACTCCTTCCCAAACTTTAAAGCAAATTTTGAATCCATATAAACCAAGAAGATCAGCTTTATTAGTGTATAATTTATTCTAGTTTTGCTACTCAATGAGAGAGTAAGAAACGATGCAATGTACCTGACATTCATCTTGCGTGAGTGAATCTGCATAATCCTGGCTCTGGCCTCCTCATTGGGCATTGGGAACTCAATCTTGCGGTCCAGCCGTCCTGAACGGAGTAGAGCAGGATCCAAGATATCCACCCGGTTGGTGGCAGCAATCACCTGGACAGAGGAGATCACTTTGCAATAAGACCAACTGCAGATTCTACTCAGAAATGAGCTGAAACCATAAGGACTCCCATCTTCAATGCTCATTCACTTATTTTCATACTCTTCACCAAGGCCAACTTACCTTCACTTGTGTATTGGGTTGGAATCCATCGAGTTGGTTCAGCAATTCCAACATGGTCCTCTGTACTTCACGATCACCAGCCTTTTCACTATCAAATCTACAAGAAAATAAGATAGAAAGTCAAACTTACTTTCAAGATCCGTCTCCTTCAGAAAACTTCATTTTACCAATTAAAAAAAAGACAGTCAATGAATAGGCCTAATTCAAAACGTGCCTGTGATGCCATAAATAAGAGAAACAAATCCCTGTCACTATTTGGTTGTACACATCTGGAATAGCATACCAAAGAATGAACATGCTGATATTTTTTTGCAGGAATTAATTAGTGATGGTGTGGGAAAGTTAGTGGAAATTCTATATGATCTATCCTTTGCAAATTGCACCTACATGGAGGTAGCTTAGGGGGAGATGTTTTTTCTTCATTAGTTACCATGTGCTACTCCATATAGGGCTAAAAAAATATAGTAATTTGGTTGCACTACATGTTTAATATGGAATTTGTCAACATATCGAAGGGGCGTTGGTCATATTAATCATCTTCCACTGCAGATGACAGAATAGTACAAAACCCTCAGCCAAATAAGTTTCAGGACTGAGTCTACTTCTGAAAAGAGTGCACACACTTACAGTGGCTCTGGCCCTTTCTGAAAATTGGGTGATGCAATTCTGCTTGAATCAGAGTTGCACTGTCACACAATTTCTAGTTACAAGTTATTTCTAGTTACATTACACCCTTTATTCAGTTTTTCCTTGGCCTATACCTGAGGGAAAATACTGCTGCTTCTATTTTACAGTGCAAAATCACCTGAAGCAGTCTTGCTTTCTGCCAGGAACTCCAGATAAGGTCAGACCTCAGGCCAGTTTCCAACCCACAATCCTCCATGTCTAAAATCTAACAGCATTTAATTCACTGTAAAATGGACCACTGACACCTCATTTAGTCTATGTTCTTGCAGAATTGGGAAGGATCCCTTGAAAGCTTACAAATAGTCATCTCAATGTGGACACTGATCACAGAAATTACAGGAAAAAGTCCAAATATCATACCTTTTTGTGCCAATGGCATCTAGTTCATCAATGAAGATGATAGAAGGTGCTTTCTCTTTGGCCAGTGCAAAGGCATCTCGCACCAACTTGGCTCCATCTCCAATGAACATTTGCACTAACTGTGGACCTGCCAGCTTCAAAAACGTAGCCTAAAGCACAGGCAGAGGGGGAAAACATTATTAAAAATATTTTGCATCCTAATATAGTCTCAGTTTTCTTAATTAGAGACCGCTTAGAAAACTGATGTTGGAAGTAAAAGTATGCAAATAGTCATAAAAGGAAGGGTTTGCCTACACAATATGTAGATATGGTTTGCTGTATATACTTGAATATAAGCTGAGATTTTCAGCCCCTTTTTTAGACTGAAAGAGCCCCCCTGGGCTTATACTCGAGTCAGTAATTTATTATGTTACTCAATAATAATAATAATAATAATAATAATAATAATAATAATAATAACATTTACATTATTTTACTCTATTATTTTTATTACATTTATTATTTTACTCTATTATTATATTTATTATTTCTCTCTACTATTATTACTACATTATTTTACTCTATTGTTATTACTTATATCTATTTACATTATTTTACTCTACTATTATTATTAGATTTATTATTTTACTCTATTATTATTGAAAGCACATTGCCATTGAAGGTGGTTAGAATAATGGTTTAATCAGAGTTGGACAGTCTTATCTTCAAATTACAGTTTTATGTAAATATTTAAAAACATTTAACCTACTGATGCCTCTATTAATGTAATTTTATTGGTATCTATTTTTATTTTGAAATATACCAGTAGCTGCTGCATTTCCCACCCTCGGCTTATACTTGAGTCAATATGTTTTCCCAGTTTTTTTGTGGTAAAATTAGGTGCCTTGGCTTATACTCGAGTATATATGGTAACTATGTACAATCCTACCCAACACTGTCTCTTTTTCCTCCATGACAGAACACTGACAACAACTCATAGAGGAGTTCAGGAAAACATCAGCAAATAAAGCAGCCTTACCTTTGTCTGTGCAGCACATGCTCTTGCTAAGAGGGTCTTCCCTGTTCCTGGGGGTCCATACATCAGTACTCCTTTGGGAGGCTGGATACCCAGGTTTTCAAATTTCTCTTTATGATTCATTGGTAGAACAATAGCTTCTACTAACTGCCGAGACAGAAAGGTACAGATGACTGCTTCCATTTACCCTTCATGGACACACACACACAAACATACATCAGTAATACTTATTATTTTTATAAAGGCACTAAAACATATGAAGGGCTATGCACAAATATTAAAAGTCTGCCTGCAGATTTAATCTGAAAGACACATTCATTTTTAATGACACAGCCTTTTGTTCTCACCTCCTGAATCTGTTTATCCAGTCCTCCAATGTCGCTGTACTGCTCTGTAGGTCTCTCATCTACCTCCATGGCTTTTACCCGTGAATCGTATTCTGTGGGCAAGGTCTCCAGTATCAGGTAAGAGTCCTTGTTCACTCCCTGGAGAGATAAGTTGATTAATAAGTCTTCTCTACTCCAAAATCCATTCTTTCATCACCAAGTCATGCTCTTTTGCAATGGCAGGTATGAATGTTTTCCAGAACCCTTGACCTGGCATTAGGTATTCGGGTAGAAATGTGGATTTATAAGAGGAAAGAAAGGAAGATTTATAAGAGGGAAGAAAGGCAGATAGAGATTGACTACAAATGTAAGTCAATTCCCAATAGCTCAGGAAAAATGGATCGTGTCACCCTCAGAAATTTTACACTGCTTTCACTTTGGATCCTGTTTTAATTAGAAAAACTGGACACTTTTTAAATTATCTCAATGTAACAACTTATTATAGGATACTCGTCATAGACCAAGACGTTTAAGTCATCAGAATGGACAGTTTGAGGCATGAACTAAGAAAATGAATAAGTACTACAAGATTCAGTATTAGATGAACAGAAAAGGTATATTCTCAATAATTGCTTCATGCAACATCAGCCAGTTCTGTGAAATAAATTCAGTGTGCACATAAGTACATGTATCTCATCTTGGAAGAAAGGTGGGGGATAAATTCAGTAAATAACTTTTTAAGTATGTAAATTTCTTAAATATAGCCCAAACTACTAAATGCTGTACATTTCTTTATTGTACAGCATTACTAAGGTTCCACAGATCTAAGAAAATTACAATAAGATAAATCTTTTACAGGGAATCCTAAGGTGTTTCTTTAGAATCTTTTGCTTATTAGAAAACAAACAGTAAATATTTCTTGTTACTCATGCTTTGGTCGAACAGAAATTACTCACCACTAAGTCTCCAGGCTTCAATTTTTCAGCGTCAACTAACCCAATCACTGGCAGAAAGTAAGTCTATTGAAGAAAAAAGAATTAAAATAATGTATTTATAACCTGATTCAGTTTAAGTGGTTCACTAACTTAAAACTTTGAACACCCAGGCTTTAGATTCAGGATGCACTGGATTTAAATTAAACAAAAGGCTTGCTGATAGGAACAAATTACAACACTTATGTGTGGTTTCCAGGCCATGTTCTAGCAGCATTTTTTCCTAACATTTCGCCTGCATCTGTGGCTGGCATCTTCAGAAGCTGCTAGAATACAGCCCGGAAACTACACAACACCTTAGTGATTACGTCCATGAAAGCCTTCAGCAATACATATGTTATTTATTTCAAAACTTACACCCTGACTTTCTGTTTTTAATACTAAACAATACAATAAAAACTTTTAATACATAATCTTGAAACTACAACAAGAATAAAAGCAATACTTCATTTTGCTTAATATCCCAATAACAAAAATAAAATGGTTGATATAAAAGTATTTTTAAGCACACTCTTGAAAGCTATCTCATTTACAGAAGGTAGGGCCATGATCTTGTCTGTGGGAAGTTTATCAGAATCAGGTGGAATGGGCCAAGAATATTTTTTCCATATTTCTATCAGATGCAATCCTTGAACTCTCCAGTTAAATGGATCTTTGTTAGTATACATTTTGGAGAGGACCAATCAGATTGAGTACTGAACTACTCAGAAGACAAAATAAGTCTTCACATATGTTCTTAGATCTGAAAACACTTTCTCATCGTGCTACTCTCACCTGGCGAGTGGAGGTTTTTATCACAGCACACTTCCCCTTCCTTTGAGAATCAAGATCAATATTTGCTCCATCTTCCTCTTGGTCATTGGGATCAACATCCAGTAGCTGGAAGGGCAGAGAAACTATCAAATGTGCAGCCATGTTGGTCAAGTACTACATGAACACAGCATATTCCTGCTTAACACATGCACAGCAAGCTAGATATTTAATCATCACACATGCTAGTATTATGTCTGCAGACCAGCTAAACTGAATTTGGTCCACTGCTCTTAAAGAAACACCAATGACGTTCACAAAAAATGTTATGGAAATTAGTGGTATGTCGATCAGCAAAGAAATATGCCATACATTTTAGAAATGGGTCAAGGAAAGAAAACAAGGCGTCAAAATTGTTGTTTCCCTGAGAAGCTTAAAATACCAGAGTCAAAACATATTTCATGTATTTTTATACCACTTATCAACAATAGCCCCAGTGCGTTTTAAAAAAAACTCTGCAAAACCATATATTTCTATCCTTCTTTAGGATTTTCAAACAGGAAAATTGATTTAGAGATGGGGGGAAAAAGCATGAAGAGTGCTACCTTCACCTTGAAATGGTTCTTTACAAAGGATCATTATGATTATTTTTTTTCAGATACAAATATTACAGCATAAAGCTCAATCCTAGCTTCTTCTTCAACAAGTATTACTAGGACTGTAGCCAAAATATCAAGATATCATGCTAATTCAGTAACTTTATTTTTATACCCTGCCACCATCTCCCCGAAGGGACTCAGGAGGCTTACATGTAGAACAAATGTCCATTAAAAAATAAAAACAAAACAATACATAACTAAAATAGGTTCAACATAAAATACAGTAACCAAGATATAAACACAATAAACATAACAAAATAAAACAGATTGTATTGGAGCTCCTTTCAGATCACATTTAACATAAACCAATAACTGGATTTCTAAGATGGACCTGACCAAGTTATATAAGGACTGGGCAGGGATAGTGCAAATAGCAAATCATAGGGCTGGGGTAGAGGATGAAGTGCAAAACAGAGTAATCAAGATAAGTATAATAAAGAAAATACAAGAATTGAAAATCCCCTTCCAAAGCATCACAAAGCATAACATTTCCTAGTTTGGAGGATGGGAGAGAGAAAACACTTACCTCTATGACATTGGAAACAAGGTAAGGAAGAGTTTTATTGACTTTGATCTTCTCACTGTTCTCTTTGATCTTGTCTTTCATGGCTTGTAGTTCATGGGTCACTCTTAAGACCTCACTCTTCATGATCTATAAATTGAATTAGTTTAAAGGAAAGGACAGTGAAAAAAGTGCTTTTTCCACCTCCACCAACTGCATCCTTTGTGGGAAAAGATGAAGCTGCCATGATTGCCTCCAAATACAACTAGTGCAGAGATCAGCTGCCAGATTGCTAACTGGAGCACTGTACCATGAGAGGATGAGTCCCATGATGCGGCACCTCCACTGATTGCCGGTCTGCCATGATTTTAATTTCTTTCTAAAAGCCAGGAGGGAGGGAGCAGATCTTACCTCACTTGGGAGTGTGTTCCATAGACGAGGGGCCACCACTGAGAAGGCCCTATCTCTTGTCCCCGCCCGACGCATTTGTGCAATTGACGGGAGTGAGAGCAGGGCCTCCCTGGATGATCTTAAATTACAAGATGGGACGCAGGGGTGGATGCGTTTGGACAAGTAATAGAGCAGTGGTTTTCAACCTGTGGATCCCCAAATGCTTTGGCCTTCACCTCCCAGAAACCCTAACAGCTGGTAAACTGGTTGGGATTTCTGGGAGTTGTAGGCCAAAACACCTGGGGACCCAGAGGTTGAGAACCACTGGTATAGAGCCTTTTAAAGTCTCTTCCGTTGTGTTTTTCAATGTTTTTATGAGTGATGGTCACTTGTTGGCCTGATACGTGTATTGTGTCCGAATTTGGTGTCAGTTCGTCCAGTGGTTTTAGAGTTATGTTAATCCCACAAACGAACATTACATTTTTTATTTATATAGATTAAATACGACGACTGTATTGTTCTCAATGTATAAAGTAACCTGAGGGCAGTTTGGGCATTCAGCAAATCTAAAAATTATGTGTTAGATTGGTAACTGGGGCTACCAAAGCCATTGTGCTGATCATACATTTGTTTTGTTGAAATATTCTGTCAGCTTTAGAAGCTACCTCTTCAGACCTAGGATGCATCTACACCAGGCATGGGCAAACCTGGGCCCTTCAGGTGTTTTGGACTCCAACTTCCACAATTCCTAACAGCCTGCTGTCAGGAATTGTGGGAGTTGAAGTCCAAACCCCCTTGGGGGGCGAAGTTTGCCCATGCCTGGCGTAGATGCGCCCAGGAAGAACGAGAAAAGCCTGAGGCGGGAGAGCGGCTTCACCTTGATCTCGCTGTCGAGGAGGCGGGTGCGCTGCACAATCTCTTCCGTGGACATCTTGAGCACTTCCTCGCCGATGCCATCCTGAGGGGAAAACACACCGTCATGGCACCAAGCGGCGCGGAGCCCGTCCCTTCAGGCCCCTTCCTTCCTTCCTTCTCCGCTCGCTCTGGACTTTCCCCAAAGGCGGCGGAGAAGGGCCTCCTCCCGGTAACGAACAACGAGGCCACGAACCGCCCCCTTCTTTCCCCAAACCCCTCTCCCCTTTTTCCTCACCTCTGCCTCATCCCAAACCGACGCCATCTTGGCTCGACAGAATAGTCAAACTGCACTTTCGGTGAAACGGATTCGACACACTCTGGGCGGAAATGGCGTCATTCCCTCAACCGTAATGGCCGCGGTTGTTTCTTTGCCCTCGTCCGTGACGACATGGTCCATCCTGCCATACAGGCTTTTCTTCCCCGTCCCCAAGCTCACGTTACGTGGTGACGCACAACGTCGCTGAATGTTGGCTCCTGCGTCCATCTTTGTTTCGGGCAACGACGGAAGCCTTAGAGGGCCTTGAGCCTTCACTCCGGGTGTAGCATTCTTGCAGTTTTACACTCCTGTCACTGCTTTTGGCTGAATGCTATGGAATCCTGCGACTTGTATCTTCGTGAGGCACTAATACGCTTTGGCAGAGGAGGCAGAGAATCTTGTCAAACTACAACTCCCATAACTCCATAGCTCAGAGCAGGAATGGGCAAAGTTGGGCCCTCCAGGTGTATTGGACTCCAACTCCCACCATTCCTAACCATTAATGCAGTTCGGCACCACTATGGGCATTGTAGTTTTACAAGGTCGTTATTACAATTTACAGTATTTATATTCCACCCATCTCTCCCTGAAGGAGACTCAGGGCGGATCGCAGAACACATATACGACAAACATTTAATGCCATAATACACTGACAGGACAGACACAGTACCTAAATAGAGGTATCTAGGCTTTTCCCATCTTTGGTGTCTTGGAGGTTGTGCTCTATTCTGGTCACGGGGGGGGGGGGTACTGTTGCTCCATCCACCATGTAGAAGAACCCTGTTCACAGGCTTGCCCCTTTGATTGAATAGGTGATATTTTTCTGGTATTTCCTTATCGTGTCATTAAAATATCTTCCTACTTAAGCAGTACCTAATTATCTACTCACAGCTGTTTTGGATCTGCTAGGTGAGTAGTGAGCTGGGCTCAAGGTTGGGCACTCACCCCCAACCCAGGCTTCGAACTGTCAAACTTTCAATTGGCAAGATTTATTGCAGCTGGTGGTTAACCTGCTGTGCTAAAGCCCGGCCTTCCCTACCAAAGTGTGCTGTGCCTCACCAAGCTACAAACCCCAGAATCCCATATTCTTGGTCTATAACAGCTGAAGTATTGTCAAACTGCATGAATTCAGGATGTTTAATTCTGTTTTTGCAGTTGCTGTCTAGATATGGTTCCTTATATGTCTTATAGAAAGACTACATTTTTATTTTATTGCTCTTAGCTGTCTTGGGCTGCTTAGGAGGATGAACAGAAATGTACACACAAGCTTGCAACTTAACAAGGCCAACATGGAACCAAACTGCCAGGTCCAAGGTATGTTTTCATACACTGGCTAATACTGTTTACCTTGAACAAGTAGCATCACTAGCCAATAAGATAACAGAGGGCCGTTCCACACAGCCATATATCCCAGAATATCAAGGCAGAAAATCCCACAATATCTGCTTTGAACTGGAATATATGGCAGTGTGGACTCTGATATGCCAGTTCAAAGCAGATATTGTGGGATTTTCTGGCTTGATATTCTGGGATATATGGCTGTGTGGAAGAGCCCAAAGTCAGAACTGGGGTTATCAGCCATATAGTTAGGCCCCTTCCATACTGCTGAATAAAATCCCATATTATTTACTTTGAACTGGAATGTATAGCAGTGTGGACTTAGATATTTCAGTTCAAAGCAGATATTGTGGGATTTTCTGCCTTGATATTCTGGGTTAAATGGCTTTTTGTGGAAGGGCCCTTAGATACATCTGGATATATTTATTTGTGGTGATGTGTTCCCTGCCCGGTAGCTCTTGCAACAAGAATAGTGCTTCCCCCCCCCCCCCCCCCCATCATTTTCTACTACCTACAGCATATTTTCTGAGCTAGCAATTCCCTGCTCATTTTTCTTTGGTCAGAGAGGCTACAACCTTGTCAAATTAATTTGAAGGCATTGAACTAAAGGCTGATACAGCTTTATTGATTCCAGTATATATAAATAGATTAAAGTTTACATCTATTGCTGACAACACCACAATTGCAGGCAGAAAACTGTTTCTGCCCATTTAATAGCACAACTATAGCAAAGGAATACAAGACAAGAAATCTTTTCTGGGGACGGTCCACACAAAGACTCTTTTCTCTGTACAGTCCATGCAGCAACTGAATTTTTGTGTGAACACAATAGATGGTATAGGTCTCAGATCAAGGGAATTGGGTACAGTGGGAGGGATCCCAAGTATACAATGAAAAAACATACTCACAAAACAGGAGAAGCACATTATTGAAGAGCAGATGGGGAGATCACAGATTTGAGCATTGTAAGGCAGTGGTTCTCCACCTTTAGCACTCCAGATGTTGATTTTCCAGAAAACCCAACCAGCATGGCCAAAGACTGAGTGTTAATGTACAAAACATCTGGAGGGCTGAAGGTTGAAAAAATGTAATGCATCTGGCAATCTTGAATGTAACGCACTATGCAAGCTTAGAAAGAGCATGCTTTAAATTTTAGGCCTGAATAATTTCCCAAAGCATAGACAAGATACTTTTAAGAAGATGCTAACAATGGTAACCAGAAGGCAATGAGGAGCCATGTCTGGAAAAAGATTGCGGTCTCCCCATAGCTATGAGAAAGCTACACATGTGTAAATCCAAGATGGAAAAAAAAATACAGCATCATGTTGTCATGATCATGTTGTTTCCCACAAGGAATGAATAAATAACAAGGATTTGAGGGTCTGAACTAGTGGATGCTACTAGAAAAAGCGGAACAGGAGAATGAGAGGACTGGAATTGTGGGAAGCCATGGTAGACAACGCCCTTAAGGGATAAGAGGTGGCATGTTGGTTGTGATGATTGGCCTTATGGAAGGAGATGCCACAGAAATCCTACTAGATGTCCACACCTCAGATATGTGGAACATGAAGTGGCACAGATGAAGGCTGACATGTTGCATCAATTATGCAGAAGATCCTCTTCCTACACTGTGCATTTGCCTTCGCCTTCTCATCATGTGCCAAAAATGCTTCTATGCACTACTTTTTGATGACTGTAAAAAGTGAACTCCTATCATAGATTCAGCAGATCACACAAATCCTGGTTTAACTGATGAACGTCGGCAATTGGGGCAACCACGTGTTCCATTGGTCTGGAGGCACCTGCAGAGGAACATCAAGGCATAGTTTGAGGCTGGAACACTTAATAATAACATTAAATTCAGAATATGAATGTGCGTATAAACATAAAGTTCTAGGGAGGAGGGAGCAAGCTTGTTTTTTGCTGCCCTGGAGACTAGGACATGGAACAATGGCTTCAAACTACAAGAAAGGAGATTCCACCTGAACAATAGGAAGAACTTGACTGTGAGAGCTGTTCAGCTGTGGAACTCTCCGCCCCGGAGTGTGGTTGAAGCTCCTTCTTTGGAAGCTTTTAAACAGAGGCTGAATGGCCATCTGTCGAGGGTGCTTTGAATGCAATTTTGCTGCTTCTTGGCCGGGGTTTGGACTGGATGGCCCATGAGGTCTCTTCCAACTCTATGATTCTATTATTCTATGAACTTAATACAGGCAAATACAGCTTGCATTAACTCAAGTGCAAATCCCATTCAGTTCAGTGGGCTTTACTCTCATATAGGCTTCTATAGGAGTACAGCCTAAATTAGTTTAATTTAGATCCAGATGATATCACTAAGATTTTTGTAATGAATAGTCTGTCCGTCTGAATTCAATCCAAGTTCAACAAAATTTCTCTTAAGCCCAACCCAGTCTGTTCTGGTATGGAATTTCCTGACCACATCAAGAAACCAGCAAATTCATGCCATTATCTGATATCATCAGCACCTTCTCAAACAGGATTAATATTTATTTATTCACTTAATAATATGATGATCCTATATTTTAAACACTGAGGCAAAAAGATTAATAGATTAATTAGTTATAACTACTGGTATATTAACTATAACTAAAGATAAAGTGTATATAAAGTTTAAAACCACAGTCACTTTGATACTATTTCTATTTTGCTATTTTTGTTTCCCAGATCTATTACAGAGGATCTTTTACTCTCTATTGAAGGAAACTGAGCAAACAACTTATATTTTAGGCACTTGCATTTGCCTTGACTAAGCTACCAACTTGTTCACTGAAGTTTTCAGATACTTGTGCTCTGCTATTTACTACATGCTAAAGTTAGCCTTGCCAGACAGTGGCCGCCAAGATCATCCAGCCATGAGTTCATTTGCTATTTCCCTTTTGATGCTGGCACTGAAACTCTCATTGTTTACAATCAGGCTTCCAAGCTACTCCCTTAACTTGCCTATTTATTCCATGGATGGTTTCTGACAAGGCTTTCATTGTGTAATCTGCATGCCTGCTGCACATAATTTTATGGGGTGTCCAGACAATGACAGCATGAATTTGCAGCTTCTCTAAGTATTTTTTCCCATAACTAAAAGAATAAAAATTAAAGGAAATGATTTGCAAGAAAAATAGAATAGTTAGTGATTCTGAGAGTATTCCACAGAATGAAGTATTGTATTTGAAGGTGCTGCAATATATGGTGATGTTCCACCCACTGGTACTGCTTACTTGCCTGTTACAGTTCTCTGCAAGCAGTTGTATTTGGTAACTCAACAGATTGCCCTCGTAACGTTTTTCTATCCATTTTAGCATGCCAAGGATGCTGCATCATGAATTTGGACATGAATTTGGAATGGCTGACCTTCAAATACCATCTGGTTTTAGGCATTATGTATTCACTTTCAGTGGTAACCTCCTTAACATAATTCAACAGTTCCTGTTTGTCCTCTATTTCACCACGTCTATGAGGTACAATCTAACTTAGCGATTGATGTATAATAAATTTCAATATTCCTCTTCCTGCTTCACTTTAAAGTGACAATAATTCTATTAACAGTCACAATAATAATTCACACATTTTCTCCCTCTCATCACATTTCAATTCATAAACAGAGAATTCAAAGTCAGCCCCAAAATATATGTTTATATAAAATATAGCAGTTCTCCTAAATGGGATTTTAATGTTGGTGTGAAGCTTTCACATTCTCTTCTGTACTTCTCCCGTCCGTCCCTCCCCCAAAACCA